TAGTTAACAAGGTAATAATTAAACGCAAGCATTGACCCCATTTCCGCTGTTCAATATAAGAGATAATTGCGGGCAATTAACCGACATGGCCGCGTCATCTTACAAATGCCATGCATTACTGAATTTCACACTTGTTAAAAATTGCTGCGGGAGTTGAACCAGCTACTTTCGTTGATGCGACGCTCAGAACCCTCAGCCACACAGACTCAAGACGTCAGAATTGCAAACTGTTATTATACGTCAATGTGTTTGCCTCAGAAAGTTTACAAAGTTGAGCCAGCGACTTGCCGCTAGCTGGTCCGACGCTCAGATACCTAAGCCACACAGACTCAAGACGTCAGGATAGCAAGCTGCGATTGCGCTTTGGTGTTTTTGACTTCCAAAACTGAACAATTGGTGCGGGAGTTGAGCCAGCGACTTGCAGCTAGCTGGTCCGACGCTCATATACCTAAGCCACACAGACTCAAGACGTCATAAATGCAATGCACAACTTGTTTTTATGCATTTCATGCGAACTATGCGCATATTTGTGGGTCGATTTTTTCAAAATCCCGCCCAAGTGCCAATTTTTTACCCAAAGGAACAGGCCCGTAGCTCTTTCAGCTTTGGCTATGCGTTCGTTATCGTTCAGTTAGTCACTAAAAATTCGTTTTTGCACATTAAAGTCATTGAAATATTAACAATTCCTGATCTGAGCACTGATTTTGGTTTCACTTGGCACCAAAACAAGATTTTGCAAACTATTTCCACACTTGATCTTTTCAAAATTGTACGTCTCTAGCGCCTGAAAATTACCTAAAACGGTTCCGTTTCTTTTTAAATCAATTTGTCAATCAATCGAAAACTTAATCTGTGCGTCATTACCGAGCACTTATGTGCAAGCCTTTTATACGCTGGCTCTTACAGTTAACGAGCTCGGCGCGTGCATGAGGAAAGACAGTAGATGCTTCCTACTGCCTGCCACATGCACTTGGATGCACAGTTCGAGTAGGGCCAAGAGAGGGAGAATAAAATAGAAAAGTCTTGAGCCAAACTAATTGGGATCGAGACAATATTGGCTGCAGGCACACGTTACATGCGTGGGCGAGGATAAGCCTCTCATTAGGCATAATGCAACCTGCTGACGCACATGGAAGCTACTACACGTAAATAAATAATGACCAATTATAATGGATTTCAGGCTAAAAACAACAAACAAGCATTTGCAATGCGCGTGGCAGCATTGTCGAGTGCAGCAGCTAAGAGAAATCCATCCAGATGCAGATGGTTATTATTGCGTTTATTGTATTCGGGCGTTGCGCTGGCTTGAGCCGCAATAAAGCCGCAGCTGTTGTGAGTGCTGTTGTCAGTTGTCAGTGAATTAAAGCCGCAGCCACCGCATATTCCTATATCCAGCCATGCATATGCACACACACACACACACACACACACGCATGTATATATATATATATATGCTTGAACACAGATTGCGCATACGCCCGGTGCAACGTCGACGGCAACTGCTTTCATAATTAATTGCGAAACAAGCTTCCGATTTGCACAATTTCTGCATAAATGCACACGCAAAATCAATGTGATTAGATAAACGTAAACGAAATGGGGCGGGGCCGACGTTGGGCGAAACGAGCATGGACATCACATACTAATTGCATTAATAATACAGGCGCGATTCGAGCCGATCAATAGACATGCCCGATTACCACGGACAACGGGCTGCATCTAACACGATTTGCCCCACTTGCCTTCAATTACGCGACCTATTGCATTGCGATTTAACAATATTATTTGCAAATATATGTTATTTATAGTGCTTAACGTGTAATTTGCATCAATTGTGTTTCAGTGAGATTTTTAGAGCGCATTTTCAAGAAATATTTAAAACTTTTAAGGCCATGTATGTATGCAAATACGATTGTTATAGTTGTTACTTTCATTTTCAATATAATACAAAATAGTTTTGTTGATAATACTTACCCGTTTTTTGAATGACCTCCGTCAAAGCCATAGCCACGGCCTCCTCTATTGTACAAGCCGTCGTCTCCTTCATAGTTGATGCCCTCATCTCCTCCTTTGCCTTAAGTCTCCTTTACTAAAGGCGCCGCCTCCTCACTTTTGAGTGAAGCATATGAAACATATTTGAGTTCGTGAGAATCGCATAGTAGGGCATTACCTAAAAATACGTTTTTATTGTTAAATTATTAGCTCAGCTTGAGGTAAACTTGGTCTTGCATATAAACATATCAAATATATGCATACATTCAAGTAATATAAGATATATACAATGAATGCATATATATACATGTACACATGCACACATACATGCAAACATACACAAATTCTTAGATGCACATACACGTACAAACATAACCTCTAATGTACATATTACAAACGTACCTTCATCCACATATGCATACATATATATATATATATATACATATACATGTGTATACATGCGCACATACATTCATACATACGGTATAATGCATACATACGTTCACACATGCGTGCACATATGCATACACAGTTACATACGCTTATACACACACATATGCGCCCACGTACACACATAAATACACACACATACATACACACAATCATACATACAAAATATTAATATTTTCCACTTATATTCCATGGTGAAATTTCTCAAATCCCAGAAACATGTATTCATTAGATTTTTATGAGTCCGATCGGACGAAACTCAGGGCTTACTTAATCAACTTTTGAACCGTGTTTTTCATCTAAGAGGGGCGGATTTCGAGAGAAGTGTGACACTCGTAGCTGATGAGTTTTCACAAAGTTTCATCCAAACGTTTTCCGCGATTTTTCCACACCATCGGGTGGAATTTACCGAAACACCGTCTTACAGTATGAACTGTGCGTTGATCACCAATCAGTCAGTCAAACAGTCAGTCAAACAGTCAGTCATTCAGTCAGTCAGACAGTCAGACAGGACAAACAGTTTTATATATAGTGATATCTGATTTTACTCAACTCAGTGCTCACTTATATAAGCACCCTACACCTCGAATCATTACGAAATAGAAAATATGATCTACTGGAAAGGAATACAAAAAAAGTATAAATAAATTCTTTATCTCAACGTGCAAAAGCGTTATTTGATATAGCATCAATTCTTGCATACGGTGCATTTAATTGCGTCACGAATTGCATTTGTCCTAATAATATTTTATTGGCTATTTGGTTACCTTTATAATATTTATATAAAATGTCAGCTAGCTCAAGTTCAAGTTCAATTTTTTTTTATATAATCTGCATCACTTATATAAGCCTTAATCGAGCACCCTACTTCGAATCATTACGTGATAGAAAATATGATCTACTGGAAAGGAATGAAAAAATGTATAAATATATTGTTTATTTCAACGTGCGAAAGCGTAATAGGATATAGCATGAATTCTTATGTCGACAATCCTTGCAGAGGGTACATTTAATTGCGTCACGAATTGCATTTGTCCCCATAATATATTGTTGGCTATTTGGTTACCTTCATAATATTTATATAAAATGTCAGCTAGCTCAAGTTCAAGTTCAAGAGTCAAGAATTTTAATTTAAAGAAAGTTTGCAAGTCCAAGCATCAAGTTGCTACATATATATACCCCAGGCTTGCCCGTTATACGCATAAAATAAATTCTCTGGAACATTTTGGGAAATGAGTTTGAATTCCGATCGGACGCTGTGGGTGGAATTTTGCAAATCGCTGAAACTCGTATTCATTAAGTTCTTATGTAGAGCTTGGAAAATATGTTTGAAGCAAAGCGGATAAAACTTAAATTTCGGTCAAGAAAATCTTTGAATCGCATTTCTAGCAAAGGAAAATTGGATTCTGCGAAAATGTGTCTCAAATGATTTATCATATAGATCCTTGGAAATGAGCGCCATTTTCACCAAGCAGGAATGAATTTTCCGAAAAGTGTGAAACACGTATCAGATGAATTTGAACAAAGATCTTTGAAAATGAGTTTTGGATCGATTGAATTGAGTAAATAAACAAAAATGTTGTATATACATTTTTTCATGATTTTTCCACATTTTCGGGTGGAATTGCACAAAATCGCGCGCACCTCCAGTACATTAGGTAACTGCAGTGAATATGGCAGCTTCAGTCAGTCTGAAGCTGGGGGGAAATCTGATATTTTGCGTAAATGTTTGCTTTTATTTTCACATGTGATGCTTCACGTATTGCACAGTTGCGGAGGAGGAGCGTAGGGGGAATGGGGGGTTAAGGATTAAGTACGCATTTGCGTGGGCTGTGCTTGACAAGGGGCATATGTTTAGGGGTTGACAAAGCAGCAAAACGAACACTTTTTATTTGCTCATTATATCCATTTGTCTCGCTCAAACTCGTTATCTGTGCAATCCATGAACTTGCTCTTGAAAGTATGCTACAAATTAGTCTTGTTTTGTCCTCTTCTTGCCTATCTTTGCAGTGCCATATGCAACCGATAAGACTGTGTGAAGTGGTCAAAAACAACAACAACAGGAACAGAAACAGGAACAGGAACTGAAGCAGCAGCAGCAGCAGCAGCGTTGCATTGCGCGCGTGTGTGCGTGTGCGTGTGCGTATTTGCGAGCGTGTGTGTGTGAGCGAGTGCTTAACAAAATGGCGGGCGGCCGGCGCAGCCAAAATGCAGCGCTGCTCAGCAACGTCGTCGTCGTCGTCGTCGCCGTCGCCGTTGCCGCGATGCTGCTCTAAACGAATGCGCAAAGATCGAGCGAGCAAGCGGCACACAGCACATTGAGAGCAAGAGAGAGCGAGTGCGAGAACGAGAGAGAGAGAGAGAGCGCGCAACCGAAAGGAAGCGAGTGGCAGAGTGCGAGATAGAGAAAGCTACAGACGGTAACCAGGCAGCGACATCCATCCATCCATCCACTGCTAAGTTGCGCAGCAGCCGCCGTAGGCTAGCGGCTAAGCGGTTCAGGTGCCAGTTTTCAGTCATCGCAGAGCGGCGACGCAGCGCACCGACTACGCACCAAAATGCCTGGCGGACGACGTGGACTTGTTGCTCCACAGAACACATTCCTTGAGAACATAATACGGCGCTCCAATTCGCAGCGTAAGTACACAAAATACAACAATTTATTAAGAACATATCAAATCAAAAATACAAAAACAAAAAACAAAACTCGAATTGCTACAAAAAAAGCTACTCACAAAGTTATCGATAAGTGAACTAAACGAGTGTCGCAATCATCTTGTTAAGTGAATACCTAAAGTGTTTGATGGTGTTGATCCGGGCAACTGTTCTCCATTAGAAATAACGCTAAGATCCGAACTATAACAAGCACTATCGAAAATATCGATTGGCGCCACGTTCGATAGACATTTATCGAAGATTTTGTCGAACATTTCAATGTGTAGAGTATCGATAAACAGTTGAATACATTTCAATGTGGATAATAATCTATCGATAACATTCATGTGGCGACTATCGAAGTTATTATTGTGTAGATAAAATGTTAAATTGTATATATTGAATATAATATCAGAAGATTCTTAACTATTGAAATAATAGTGTAAGCCCTTAATCAATACACTTTTCAAAGATATATCAATGTGACAACTATCGATAACTGAAAACTATCGTGTAAATCCTTAATCAATATGCTTTTCAAAGATTTATGTGTTATATCCATGTAGAATCTATTGATATTATAGTGTAAAACTGAAATATAAATGGGGGAACTGGCCATATTATAGTGTAAGACCTCAATCAGTATGCTTTTCAAAGATGATATAAGCCTATTCATTATATGAATGCGGCGTCTATCGATTTCCGAAACGATTCGTACATGCAATAACTTGTTTTATTGTATCGATCGTATTAATAAAATAACTAGACCGATATTTTGCACAGTTAGGCAAAGCCAATGTCTTAAGTATGCCAGAACAGCTATCGATAAATTAATTTACAAATCAATCCGAGTCATCGATAACAATTGGAAAAATTGTGGATATGATTTCCAAAGAAATTTTCCAAATTCCCTGCATTGCAGATCAACTCGCATACATGCCGAGTCCTGAGGTCAGTTTAGTGTTGGGGCAAAGGCAATGAGGTGCCAGAAGAGGGTTGACAACAAACCCACGCAAAGTTCTTAACACTACATCCAGCATTTAGGTACGGGTCTTTCATTTGTGGTCAGCTATGGGCAAAAGTTCTGCGCTTGTCAACTGACGGCTAATAGAATTGAATGGGCTGGTCTGGTGGAATGACACGGAATGTGAAATCATTTTCCGTTAAGTTGTCAACGCTTGCAGCTTCAGCCGCAATCAGACACCGCGCACAGCGAGCGTGTGTGCGAAAAGAGGCGCAGCGGGGCGCAGGGGCCAAGCACATACGCAACCGCTTAGCTATATAAATAGACCAACACACAGCCAACCCACACAACCACCAACCCACACACACACACACAGAGAGAGAAGAAAAAACACACGTCGATTGCGGGTTGTCGTCGCCGCTGGGCCAATTAAAACGGCGGCAGCAACCTGTTGACCAGCTGAGAATGGAAGGAGAAATGGGAAATGGGAAATGGGGACTGGGACTGAGAATGAGACTGAGAATAGAAATGGGAATAGTAATAGGATTGTGAATTGAAAAGGTAAAATGAATAGGAATTGAAACAGGGGGAATCGTAGCAAAACTAGATAAATGAATAGAAATTAAAATGTGAGCATGACTGGAAATGCAGATAGGAACAGGAATCGCAGGAATCGCAGGAATCGCAGGCAAACACAAATCGGCAAAAATATGTGAATAGAAGAACTTTGAGCAAAGATGTGAGAATTAAGCCAACCAAAGGGATGTCATCGAATATAGCTGTGACTACGAAAGGCAAATTTAATTGGAAGAGCAGAATAAGAAGTGAATAATGCATTGATATACGCCGAAATGAATACATGAATGTTCGCAGGCAACATATTCAAATTGAAATAGGAGAAGGAAATTGAAACGGATTGTCAATAAAGTCTCATGAATGGAAGGAAGACAAAAGGACTTCAAACAGAAATGACAGTCGCAATACGTTCACGAACTTGAATCGAGTTTCAAATTGGATGAAAAGTTAAAGCCGAAAGCAATTGGCCTATAAAGGACTATAAACATATAAATGAAGGAAGGTGAAATAAGTAATCAAATAGTCATAGAATAGGAATTTCAGATGGCAATTAGGACAAGCAGGTGCAAAACTGGGAACGGAAGAAGAACCGAGTTGAATGGTAGGCAGATAAAGGCGCACGAATATGAATAAAGATTGTCAAAATGAATGAGAATGGAAGAAAGGAATTTCGACATGAAGAAGCGAGCGGCATATCGACAGGAAGTAATATCCAATAAGGGCGAAAACAAAAAATAGAAATTTCGATGGAAAACGAATTCCAATCGATAGTTGACAACTCATATGCACATATCAGGAGCATGGCGGAATGTACGTCGCAGTACGGATATAAAAAAAAGGGGGGGGGGGGGGGGGGGGGGGGCATATTGATGGGAATTGCAATAAGAGGTGACACATGGACGTGAATTCCCATAGGTGGGAGTGCATGGGCAAATGTGGCTGGATAAACCAATTATATGCGTCAGGTTTGATCAGCTGCACAATGTAAAACGTGGCATGTTGCAGCAGCAGCAACAGCAACATCAACAGCGACAGCAACACGCAGATAATTAACAAGCTGATGGCTGAAAAGCCACCCAAAGCCAAACCCAACGCAATTCAGGCGAACCACACAGTCAAACAGCTGGCATTTATGTCACAACCACAGACACAGCTCCAGTTGCAGTTGCAGTTGCAGTTGTTGTTGCACTTGCAGTTGTTGTTGCACTTGTTGTTGCAGTTGTTTTCTGTCAAATGATTGCGCGTACAACATGCCTGGCTGTCGGAGCAGATGGCTGACTATTGTCTGGGCGTGCGGTTGCACATTGTCGCACTTAATGACTGCAAATAACCAGAGTCTGTGTACAAAATCATTTGAGCTCAAAGCATAGCCGAATTCGAGATACAATTAAAGCAAATGGCACATATTTTCAGTGCAAGCTAGTTCTACCAGCTATTATTCCATCAAGCTGGTATTTAGACTAAGCTTGATTTAAGCTAGACTTAAGAGGAATTAGCGTAGCGAAACTTTCAAGCTTGTAAGGGTGAAGGGTATTCTAATTCGGCTATCAAATGTGTAATCTCCCAGCCCAAAAGGTATATATCATCTAGATGAGCAGCAACAGTCGAGATATCCGTCCGTCTGTCCATCCGTTTGTTTGTTGGAGGTCTCTCAGTTTTAAAGCTAACATGTGAAAACTTTGGCTAGGTCAGCCTCTCTGTTGCAGGCAGTACACAACATATCTCAAAGCCGGCCGGATCGTAGCTATATAATATAGTAGCTGTCATAGGAACGTTATTACATTTATTAGTTAATCTATGCTGCTAATATATGAGCCAAATCTAATATTATATAGCTATATAGGAAGTACCAGACGTCAAAAGAGTTTCTTTAAGGGAACATATTTTGGTTTACACGATATTTCCATCAAACTCAGCATTTACGAGCTTCACGTAGATATCCTTAGCTTCTCGTTTTAATTAATTATAATTGTTTTTTTGCAAGTATGAATAGATTAAGTAAATAAAAGTATATATAAATATTATAAATTTCTTATGGTTTGAACCAACGACCTTCCGCTTGCTCGTCCGACGCTCTGTTAACTCGCGTTGGCAAAGCACATTTATACGGTTTAATTCTTCTTGATGTTATTCGTCTAATCTTATATAATTTACACTTTGACTAATAATCAATCAGTCAATCAGTCAGTCAATCAGTCAATCAGTCATTCAGTCAGTCAGAACAAACTCTGTTAGTCTGATGTGTTAGGCTTCCGCTGCACAAGCAAATATATGCTAAGCCTATTATGTTATAGAGTCTTACATTTTGGAATTTCCAATGCTAATGTTAACTAAGTGCTTGCCTTACATAAAAACTGCTAAGGCGCTGCTGTTAATGTTAACGCACGCGAATGTTAACGAAAGCGCGCCACAGCTGCTAATACAATTTGAAGCGAACACGGACTATATGAAAGTTTGACTGGCACATTTCATAGAGATGTCTACTTAAACATTCCGCTTGTCATACAAGAGACCATTTCAAGGTCGATGTGCGTCATCAAGCGGGTGCACGTGTGGGTGGGTGGGCGATTGGGCGGTGCTTGTTTAATGGGCATGCATTTTATTTTTATATGTATCGAGAAGGGGACTTGAGCTAGTCAAAAGCGGATTACCGGGCAGCCAAATCAGACATAAAGCCTTTTTCAAAAGGATTTGCCGAGCAGGGCAAACTGAAAGCCCACCTAATAAAAGCACAGGTAGAAAAAGGCCAGCGAGAGAGCGAGATAGCAAGATGGAGAGATAAAAGCTAGTTAATGTCCACAGCCAAGCGAACTGCGAAAAGATGCGACTATCGCACATTTATTTTCCTTTTTGTCTGTTCACATTTTCGTTTGCTTCTTCGGCTCGTTTTTTGCTCGAGAGCCTTAAATGAAAACGACATAAAGGAAATGCACACAGACGCAACAGAATGGGGGACGAGCAAAAATGCTAGCGCATCGGGCATGGCAATAGGGATAAGGAAGTGCTGCTGGATGGATGCAGTGGCTGCCACAGCGAATTAAGGAAGTGTCGCATATTAGGACAAGTAAATTGCGTTTGTTGCACGGCACAGCCAAGAGAAAGTCCCCCTTGCGTCCGAGTAAAAGTAAACCTGAGCATCAGACACAAAACGAGCAGAGAAAAGAATGGTTTTCTTTGGCAGATTAAATAGACTTGTAGACTAACAAACGCGTTTATACGAATGATGTAGTTCGATTTGATAGGGATTTTGACTGAGAGAATATTGCTTGATAAGTTTTTCACACTGAGTGATGTGCTCTCTATAGAGCCTCAAGATATGGTAGAGCGATGATGATATTACTTTGATTTATATGTAAGAAAACAGAAAAGATTTTCAACTTAATGTTCGACATATCAGTGCAATGGCAGCTATATGATAAAGCTTTAAGACTGAGAGACTACC